AATAACTTATCCATACCTGTACAATTGGTATGTTCCTGCATAAACAGGAATAAATATATTATTAAGAAATGCTGTCAGCAAAGTCTCATAAACCGTTAATGCCCAGCTCTCGCTACGCTCGGGCCCACGCTGTTCTTAGAAGATTTCTCAGAAACGCTTAGTTATAACGGACGCAAAAACCAAAACACCGATCTGCCGTTTGATATTTGTTTATTGTTACACCAACATATAAAAGGAATAAGCGAACTAAGCAAACTAAGGTCTGAAAACAAATATTACAATAATAAATCTCTGTATTACTTCTGACGATGTTTCAATCTTCTTTCTGAACAGCGACCGATGAGACGATGACTGTCGTATTGATGCTTCCGCGAAAATTGGGGAAGTTGATTTTGAGCAAACAACCAAGAATTGATCGTTCAATCTTCAACTCCATTGACACTCCCCGGCAAAAAAGGGATCCAACCCTTTTTTCCTTCACGACCAATGCACGTTGACTTGGATGCCATTGCGAGAACCTGGGTCACACGGACAGAGCTGAAATGGAAAACAAACAGAAAAGCCAACACACCACAAGCATACCCACAGCACAATCTCACACATCAATGACGACCTGCGCCTCCAGACAGAGACCTCCTCTTGACATCTTGCAACACAATCGCCACTTGCTAGAATGACTCTTGCAGAATGCAACGTGACCATAGCAGCACCTCACGATACTCTACGCACATCCTCTTATCTACTCACTACCAATTACCACTGAAATCGCTTGTCACTCATTCTGCCTCAGTTCTAGTAGCGGTGACGCATGCGAGCCTCAGTCGTTTACACTCTTTCTCCCCGGCGTGTCGGACCGCAGCTAACAATTATCTCCGTGTGCATTTCATTCTCAGCAATAGCCTAGCCTCCCCGGCGTATACGACCCATCTGCTGTCCTTAACATCAATCAATTCATTCATGGATGTAGAAGACACGAAACAACTTCAGAAGTAATCACGACGAAAATTTTAACAAAATTATGCAATAACAACAAGATACGAAAACAACAAGTAAACACAATGAATCCAAAAAACACCAATTGATATGACACACCACACATATATACAAATAGTACAAATAACCTCGCGATCATGTCTTGGTGGAATTCCTTTGAAGAATTGCAGGACTTACACCAGTACGCCTGCAACCCTTCACAGGTTGACGATTGTAAGTTGTGGAATGTCCAAACACAAACAAGATTAACCAACAATTACATCAATTGGAACTCACACAACTATTTAACACAAACATATGTACAATCAACACATCAAATGTTGTGGATTCTGACACGACAAACTACCCTTGAAGAACTGTAGGACTTACAGCAGTACGCCTACATTCCTTCTCAGGTTGATGATCCAAGTGGAAGTCGTCCGGACACAAACAGAATTACCAACAGCTAGATGACAGATGATATCAATTCAGTATATACAATATGAACATATGTACAAGATCATACACCAAGCACATTGGACTGCTCATTGATGCGCTACCCTTTGAAGAACTGTAGGACTTACAGCAGTACGCCTACAACCCTTCTCAGGTTGACGCCCTAGGTTGGAAAATCGTCGCAGAGTTCATTTGCTAACTTCCTTCTATCAGCTATATCCTCAAATCTGAACGGCAACACGCCCATGTCATTGTATCGTAGAATATAGATGACGAACAAACACACGACATATCTCATCAACCAAGTATAGAAACAGAGTAATTTACACCAAAGATAATAACATTCAAATAGTAACTTGAAACTAGAAATGCCTTTATTCATGCAAGTCAATTTAACAATAACTCTCTCGTTTACACTTGGCTTATCCACACTAAACTGACCATTGATATTCGTCCTTTCAAACGAACTGATACTACCATAGTCATTGCAGAAGATACTTGAGTTGATGGGCATCTGTTTCATTGTGGATGAAAACACCAACGATGACTGAGGGACACAAGGTGATGAACTTAGCGTTGGATCAGAAGCTGTTCTTTTTCGGCTCTCAGATAGTTGTCCAACTGCAAGATTACCACCACTGCTGTCTTTCACTACTAGTTCGGGTTTAGCACTATCATCTGATGATAGGTGGGCTACACGCTGACCAATTACACTGACTGTCTCACAAGTATGCACACCTTCTGGAACTGCATCTGCGTTCAATTCTACTTCACGTTGTAGTTGTACAGAACCTTTATTTAACTTAGCGGTAGTAGGCATTTCCCTCATCTCATCATGATCAACCAAAGACAAATCTGCACTATCATGATCATTATCACAAATATTCAATTTACCGTCAACTTCATCATTTTCAAACTCTTTAATAACAGAAGTAGACAATTTTGGTTCCTCCTCACAAATCATTAAAGGTTTTATAACTTCACTCTGACTAGTTATACCTTGTAAACTTGTGGAGTCAGAACTGCACTCTGAAGCAGTAACTCTATTCTGTGACACTCTATTCAACAACGGCTTACCAGTTGCAACTACAGACTTCTTCACCACACCGTTATCGTCACACAATTCGGAGTCAGACCTGGAGTTTACATTTAGCTTATCACTGAACTTGCTCACCGGTTCACAGTTCACTTCTGTATGCACCTCTTGCACACGTGTCAAGCACAACCGTGTTTGTCTTGTATTTTGTAACTTATCTGTTGAGGATGTACTACGAAACCTGTTACACTCACTAGGTCTATATGCATTACTAGACATCATGGAGCCTTCTCGATATCCACCTCTCTGAGGCCTACTCGTCATCAATGATTGCATTTTGCTCTCAGACTGCTCTATTCTAGGGGTGAGATCTAATAGACTGGCGAACTTGCTCATAGATTGATTGACACTAGTATTTACCAGTTTCAGGATATCATCAAACTTTGGCTCGATACCCTCATCCTCCATACGGGAGCTTATCTTCACCCACTTCCTTTGCAGTCGAGTAGGTAGACGTCTTGCTATTACTTCTAGTATAAAACTCGAGTTGAGGTCACTCACGCGATTCATCGAAATCATTCCATTCTTGTAAATTAGCAAATTATCTAAAAACTCAGTGAGTGCCTGGGAGTCATCCTGTAATTGACCACCATTACCCTTAACAGCGTCGAATAATTTCCCTGCAATCATCGAAGGTCTTCCAAACCTTTGACGTAATATGCTCATAGCCTCATCGTAGCCCTCTTTTGGCTTCATAAACTTACAACACTGTATAGCTCTTGCAGCATCTCCAGTGCAATATCTCATCAAATACATTAACTTCAATTCATCATTTAATAAAAACCACTCAACATGATCTCAAACTCCTTTACAAATTGTAAATAATCAGCCGGGTTTCCATCAAAACATCGTGGTTCAAATTTAGGGAGTTTGATGTTCCTATTATCCCTGAACGGCGAAACAGTAACATCAACCATATCATGCTTAACATCAGACACATCGTTACAATTAACAGACAAGTCACCATGACTTACTTTCCTGTTTGCATCCAAGACACTCTGTCCCTTCTTTGACCCAGGCATTGTTGAACTTGACCCAATTCCAAAAAAGTTCCAGATATTGCTTGTTCAAAGAGGACTTGACCGGCACCAGGAAAAATGAACGGCGACAATCCAAACTTTCACCAACTGTTTCAATCCGCCAGATCTGTTTCCATCGTCAGAAACTGTCAGCAACGTCTCATAAACCGTTAATGCCCAGCTCTCGCTACGCTCGGGCCCACGCTGTTCTTAGAAGATTTCTCAGAAACGCTTAGTTATAACGGACGCAAAAACCAAAACACCGATCTGCCGTTTGATATTTGTTTATTGTTACACCAACATATAAAAGGAATAAGCGAACTAAGCAAACTAAGGTCTGAAAACAAATATTACAATAATAAATCTCTGTATTACTTCTGACGATGTTTCAATCTTCTTTCTGAACAGCGACCGATGAGACGATGACTGTCGTATTGATGCTTCCGCGAAAATTGGGGAAGTTGATTTTGAGCAAACAACCAAGAATTGATCGTTCAAACTTCAACTCCATTGACAAATGCCTTCCAAGTATTAATTCACCAAAAATTCCACTTAAGTCTGTGCGCCTTTCACTCGAATTGACTACCTGCAACGGACTAAAATAAAATTATCAATTAGTATCCATCTATGTCACAACTATTCCAAGATACATCGTAAAAAAACAACATTGAAATACAGGGATGATCAATAACCATCAAGAAAATACCGCACGTATAACCTAAATTACAGAAAAACACAAGAACCCACCGGTTCGTTGACATCGCAAGCAACCGATAGACCAAACAACGAATTGTACGACACACAAAGCCTAGTACATGCACAAACAAAGAAAAACAAAGCGTTACAATAGTCTAATTCACGTTTATAGTCATCACATATACTGGCAAACGAAGCAAACACAACCACGCCAAGACAGCACCCGACAGCACGCACCCAAGGACAATTCAAACTCCAATTGACCGCCACTGTTCTAGCCAATGAAAGACGAAAAAACCTGAGTCGCGGAAAATATAACACATTACAACGTATATCCTCACCCAATTGGGACTTTTCCTTTGCCTTTCTACTCCTTAGGGCTTATGAATTGTTGTATGTTTTTTTAAAAGTTCCCACAATTTTGTCAACAAATTTAAAACAGGACATTAATGATAATGATGATACCTAGTACAAGAAAGTTATTTTGTAAAATTAAGCCAGATTTATTAAACTTCACTGGTGTATTGAGGTAGTAATCTAGAGAAGAGAAGAATTTGATGACTGTCGGTAAAACTGAATGCATGTTTAAACAACAAGGTAGAAATAAAGATAGTTATTTACATTTCTGTTAACAGTGTATTACCGCTTTCTGAAAATCAGTCAGCAGTGGACTTCACGCGACAAAAATATATGCAGACAGGTAGGCGAATATCAAAAAACAAAAACCTAAAGGTAAGGAAGAGAAACAGCTGTTCAAACGAATGCTTATTTATGACAAATTACCAAGCCATTTTTCAAGTAAGTTATGGGTAGTGTCTTTTGAATGTGGGATGTGTATGTTTTTTACATATTTTGATTTTCTGTTGTGGTTTTTCGGCAACTATCAAATGAATGATGCAATTAAAGCTAAAAAGAGTCGAGTATTACACCTCAACGGGGACAAAATACTTCCTCCTTTGTCTGGGAAGATGAACTTTTGTCTCAGTTTCTTGCTTTGTGGATTAACAAAAACAAATTGAATATTTCCGCGGTAATTCGGCTTGTGTTTCTCTTCATTCGTCTGACATTTTGTGATTTCTTTGAAAAATTAATTATTTATTCACACATATAAACAGGAAGAGAAGTCACAACATTTAAACATCATCACATAACCATACTACTACTACTACTACTACTACTACTACTACTACTACTACTGTAACAACAGAAGACAAGGGCTGGCAACAGATCGTTTTATTACGAAAATCAACACGTATTTATATATATTTTATATGCATTAATAAGGCTTATGCAAGCAGAAAAAGGCAGTCTTCTGATTGGTTGTTTCTCGGAAGTTAAGCAGACAAACACAGTCTTATGATTGGTTGTGTTCGATATTTCTCGGAAAGTAGAGCCATCTATCTGCGAATCATATTTGTCCACATTTAGGTTTGCTGTGATTGGTTGTTGAAACAGCCTTGTTCACGGTCAATATTAGTGACCTAGACATTAACGTAGATTAGTGCCAACCAATCGGCTAGCAGCCTGCTCTCACCACACTCGTCCCCCCGTCAAATAGCTTTGTGCGCAGACGTTCCGACCTTCTGGGTGCTACATCCTCTAGTTGAGGATTGTTACTGACCGGCTTGTCCCACTGTACCCATCTTTGTAGCTGACTGGCGTTAACTCGTTTCTGTTTATCACCTCTTCGGATGGTATATACTTGACCCCGTCTTTTTGTGATTGTGTATGGTCCTTCCCACTTTGGAAGGAGTTTCCGTGAACCTAGCCCGCCTCCAACTGTATATCTCCTGTCTCTACACTTCACTTGGTCCCCGACTGCAAAAGTAATGCACTGCGTCCTTTCTTTCATCTGAGACTTCGTGACATCACTGCGCTGCTTCCGTATTACATTCTTGACTGCCTCTTTCCTCTCTGCTTTTAATTTCGTCGTACTCCACTTTTGGTGCATGGGCCAGGTCTCATTGTGTACCGGTAATCGTGGTTTTCTGCCATACATCAGTTGGAAGGGTGACTTCTTCGTTGTTTCCTGAGTGGTAGCCCGATGTGTTAGTAAAATCAGTGGAAGCTCCGTTTCCCAGTTCCCGCCCTTCGAAGCCAGCCACTCTTTCAGTGTACGGTTGTTTCTCTCCGTTAGGCCATTCGTTTGTGGATGGTATGGGGTCGTTCTGATCCTCTTGATGCCCAGCTGTTGCAAACGGGAAGTAAACTCTTCACTCTCGAAACAGGGACCTTGGTCTGTCAGTATTGTCTTCGGTACGCCGTGGTCTGCAACAATGTGTCTAACTACTGCATCTGTCACGGTTCTTGCACGTTGGTCTGGGATTGCTACGGCGTCTACCCATCGTGTCGCGTGTTCCGTCATCACCAAGAGGTACTGATTACCATTGGATGTCTGAGGAAATGGACCCATGACATCTACGGACCACAAGTCACCTATCGCGGTAACTGGAATCGACTGAAGTGGTGGTCGTATATACCGGTCACCTTTCATCAGCTGGCACCGTGGACATCCAAGTACGTATCTTGCTACGTCTTCTCTCATACCTGGCCAGTACATACTTTGTCTTAGGAGGTCGGTCGTTCTGGCCACGCCTGTATGCGCTAGCTGGTGACATTCTTCTATCATGTCGTGGCGCGACGATTGAGGTATGACAGCCAGCCAGCTTCCGTCGTTCTCTCGCCAGGTCAGAGTCCCGTAGGCATTCACTCTGAGTCGATCCCTCTGTCTGAGTAGTGTGGTTAGCTCCTTACTCGCCGTAGTTTGATCCACTTCTATTCCGTTGGTGATCACCTGTATTACTGTATTCAGCGTATCGTCCAACCTCTGCCTACGTGCAAGTCTTAGTGGGTCTTGTTCTACTGCATGCACTCCGTAAGCGACCTCGGGCAACTCAGACTCATCTTCTGGTCTCGATAACAAATCTGCCAAGACATTTTCACTTCCAGGAACGTGTGAGATCGTAAAATCGTATTCCTGAAGACGCAACATCCACCGTGACAACTTCCCCCGTGGGTCTCTCGCTGTCTTCAAAAATTGTAGCGGCTTATGATCAGTTTCGATGTGGAACCGCCGGCCGAGTAAATAAGGTCTCCATTTGTCGACTGCCCATACCATTGCTAAACATTCTTTCTCTATCGTTGAATACTTTCTCTCTGTGAGGGTCAACACCCTACTGGCATACTCAACGATTCCCTCGTCCTGTCTTAGGACCGCACCTATAGCGTAGTCACTGGCATCTGTGCACACTGTGAACTGTCTTCCTGGCACAGGTAGTTTTAGCGTCATTTGTTGGTGGTCGAGCAGCTGTTTAATTCTGTCGAATGTCCTCTGCGATTCTTCCGACCAAACAAACTTTGGCTCACCTAGTAGCCTGTATAGAGGGGCTGCTATCTCATTGAAGTTCTTCACGAAGCGACTATAAAACGCTGCTCTACCCAAGAATTGTCTCAGTTTTCTCTTTGAATTCGGGGCTGGAATCGTTTTAATCGTCAAAATTTTCTCCGGCAGTGGTTTAATCTCACCATTTCCCACTTTATGTCCCAACAGAGTAACATTCTTTTTGGCTATCTGAGACTTGGTTTTGTTGACGCGTAGTCCAAACTCTTCGATGCGTCGCAGCACGGCTTCTACATGGTTGACGTGATCGTTTTCGTTTGACTGTATATGACGAGATCATCACCATAAACCTCCACGTTTTTCAAGTTCTTAAGTAATAGCTTCATCAGTCGTCTGAACGTAAACGGTGCACCTGCTAGTCCAAACGGCATGCGTTTAAATCGATATTGCGTCTGACCCACGATGAAAGCCGTCTTATCTCTGTCACTTTGTTTTATCGGTATCTGCCAGTATCCTGAGCGAAGATCGAGAACCGAAAACACATTCGCACCTTGTAGGCGATCTAAGGTTTCTACCACTGTTGGCATGGCACACGGTCTTAACTCTGTCATACTGTTTAACTGTCGAAAATCAACACAGAATCTATATTTCCCATTCGCTTTTTTTACTAACAGCACTGGAGAGTTGTATGGGCTATCAGCTTCCTCAATAATATCATCTTTTAACATCTCTTGCACTTGTCGCTCCACTTCGCCTTCCAGATGACATGGAACTCTTCGCGTTAAAAATGACCTTACTTTCGGATCACTTAACGGAATTTCATGATTCACCTTATCGCAATAACCGTATGGGTCCCATCTCCAGTGAACAGATGATCGTATTTATTAATTAACTCTGTCACATTGTGTACCGTCGACAGCTTAATCGCTGCTATCTCGCTGGTCTCATACATGTTGATATGCCCGTATTTCGTGATCACCACGTTCGCTTGCGTGTCGATTATGGCACCAATCTCACGCAGAAAATCCGCTCCTAATATCGTTCGCTGTAGTTCGGGTACAACAATGAAAGGAAACGTCACCTCGCAGCCACCAACAACGACCGTACAGTTCGATCTACCCGTGATACGCAACACATACCCGCCTACTGTTTGTACTGTCAATGAACACGGATTAACACTCTTACATAAATTCTTATCTATTAACGACACGGCCGCCCTGTATCTATCAAACATACTACTTCTCGATCATTCACTCGCAACTTCGAATACAGAGCGCCTTTCTCAATAGCCCCCACTAAACCTAGGTTCATACGAAAGAAAGAACAAGCATTATACCGTCTGAAATTTTTTCTTTTTCGCCTTTCTGGGCAGTATCTTCTCCAGTGTCCCGGCTTACCGCATTCAAAACACCGGTCTTTTCTATCAGCCAACTTTAACGCCGCCACTTCCCGCTGCAATGCTTCAATTTTTGCTCATATTCGTTTGGTTTTGGTTGGTCTATAGCGGCTACCGTTGTGCTCAGCAGCTGTCTGGTCACCTTCGCCAGCTCACTAATATCCATCGGCTGCGTTGCGTTAACCAGTTTTAATCGCTGAGAAATGTGGTCGGGGACACTCTCGATGAATTGGGAAGACAGTAACTGCGCTTCTGATTCTTCATCTAAAGTGGGAAGCGCGCGTCGAAGTAGATTAGTCAGTTTCACCGCCAACACTAGCGGGTCTCCATCAGGTCCAAGCTTCATTGACCGGAACTGCTGCATTGCTAGCTGTCTGTCTGTTTCGCTGTCAAACTCGGACACTAGTCGTTCAACCAATTTCTTCCAAGACGCTGTGCCATTTGACCTGTCTACGCTGTCATATGCAGCCTTCGCTCGGCCTCTCAACAGCGTCCCCAGGACAACTGCCTTCGCCGCCTGCTCCTTGACACCCACCAGCTCAGCAACGGCTTCGAAGTCACGTAAGAAGCTCCGTATGTCACCTTCTTCAAACGCAGCTGGCCACGGGATCTTCATCTTCTTGGAGGCAGCGACACCAAATGTAACAACAGAAGACAAGGGCTGGCAACAGATCGTTTTATTACGAAAATCAACACGTATTTATATATATTTTATATGCATTAATAAGGCTTATGCAAGCAGAAAAAGGCAGTCTTCTGATTGGTTGTTTCTCGGAAGTTAAGCAGACAAACACAGTCTTATGATTGGTTGTGTTCGATATTTCTCGGAAAGTAGAGCCATCTATCTGCGAATCATATTTGTCCACATTTAGGTTTGCTGTGATTGGTTGTTGAAACAGCCTTGTTCACGGTCAATATTAGTGACCTAGACATTAACGTAGATTAGTGCCAACCAATCGGCTAGCAGCCTGCTCTCACCACACTACTACTACTACTACTACTACTACTACTACTACTACTACTACTACTACTACTACTACTACTACTACTACTACTACTACTACTACTACTACTACTACTACTACTACTACTACTACTACTACTACTACTACTACTACTACTACTACTACTACTACTACTACTACTACTACTACTACTACTACTACTACTACTACTACTACTACTACTACTACTACTACTACTACTACTACTACTACTACTACTACTACTACTACTACTACTACTACTACTACTACTACTACTACTACTACTACTACTACTACTACTACTACTACTACTACTACTACTACTACTACTACTACTACTACTACTACTACTACTACTACTACTACTACTACTACTACTACTACTACTACTACTACTACTACTACTACTACTACTACTACTACTACTACTACTACTACTACTACTACTACTACTACTACTACTACTACTACTACTACTACTACTACTACTACTACTACTACTACTACTACTACTACTACTACTACTACTACTACTACTACTACTACTACTACTACTACTACTACTACTACTACTACTACTACTACTACTACTACTACTACTACTACTACTACTACTACTACTACTACTACTACTACTACTACTACTACTACTACTACTACTACTACTACTACTACTACTACTACTACTACTACTACTACTACTACTACTACTACTACTACTACTACTACTACTACTACTACTACTACTACTACTACTACTACTACTACTACTACTACTACTACTACTACTACTACTACTACTACTACTACTACTACTACTACTACTACTACTACTACTACTACTACTACTACTACTACTACTACTACTACTACTACTACTACTACTACTACTACTACTACTACTACTACTACTACTACTACTACTACTACTACTACTACTACTACTACTACTACTACTACTACTACTACTACTACTACTACTACTACTACTACTACTACTACTACTACTACTACTACTACTACTACTACTACTACTACTACTACTACTACTACTACTACTACTACTACTACTACTACTACTACTACTACTACTACTACTACTACTACTACTACTACTACTACTACTACTACTACTACTACTACTACTACTACTACTACTACTACTACTACTACTACTACTACTACTACTACTACTACTACTACTACCACTACTACTACTACTACTACTACTACTACTACTACTACTACTACTACTACTACTACTACTACTACTACTACTACTACTACTACTACTACTACTACTACTACTACTACTACTACTACTACTACTACTACTACTACCACTACTACTACTACTACTACTACTACTACTACTAATAATAATAATAATAATGGTTACAATTTCAAGGAGTTGAACAAAAGTAACATTTGTGTAATTACTTAATGGAATCGTTTCTTAATTTCCCAAAAAATAAAGTTGATTCGTGAGAGAAACAAAGTCGAAAAACTTTAATCTTGTGATACTTATACATTATTAGACAGACGGTTTCATATGTGAAAGAAAGGTTGGAGTTTACAGAATTGAAGTAAGCTTGTTTTAGAGGGTATAGAGTTTTGAGGAGTTCTCCAATACAATCCAGTCCAAGTGGCCTAGTGGAAGAGGCTTTGCGTGAGTCAAGGGGGTTCAATGTTAGAATGCTCACTATCCACGCTGGTGTCTTGAGTTTGATTCCTAACCAGTTGACTTCTAATAACCTCTCCTAGTCATTTGTAAAGCCACTGAATGCAGTAAGTTGAGAATAAGTCTAGTAACTCCATTCAGCAAGAAAACGCACCACCATCTGTGGAAGCTAAAAGCTCATAGTGTGAAGGCCTATGTGATTTGGGAATCTCTGCTTAGTCTACCAGTTGATTTTTTATTCAAGTGTTGGATTGTATGGATTTGATTGGTCACAGCGTTTCATCATGAGCTGACATTAGTTGGAGAACCATTGGAAAACCTGGGAGTACTAGACAGCTGTTTCCCTGTCCTAGTTTGGGACTCTTCAGCTGATTTTGTTGATTTTGTCTTTTCAAAATGAAAGCAAAAGGTTTGAGCGAAGAAATATTTACTTTCCAGTTATATCCTCATCTCTGGCTCTGCCTAATATATATATATATTTGTTAACAATAATTAATCAATATTAACATGTCAAGGGGGTGATATTTAACGAAGAAAATTAATACTCATGATTAAAGGGTAGAAATGGTTACAACACGTGAATTGCATAATGCATAATTTTATGAAAAATGAAGAGTAATTAAGGAATTAGCGGATACTGAATTTGATTACGTAAGGGATTACTAAAGCAAAATAAAACAATTTGGAAAATAGTAACTTGTAATTAAAGATGAAGTAGTCGGAAAAAATAAAATAATTTGAAGACTTGTAATTCATGAAAGGCTTAAGGGGAAGGCGAATTAGTCAGGTTTATACATTCATGTAACGATGGCCAAGGTAAGGGAAGTGACTGTACGAATTTCTTCTGAACACATAGGTTTGGCTTCTTCAAGTGAATTCCGATCGCCTCAACCGTATGTAGAAGACGGGCTCGTAAAGCAAAATTAAGATCAGTGGGAATGTGATGAATGCTGTAGTACCATTAACTTTATGCTCACCATCTACAAGGTGTGCTAAAACAGAGCTACGTTTAGCTCTTTTTTGTCCCTTGCTTAACCATGCAGAAATACGATAATGAACCTGCCTAAGTGTACTCCAAATGTAGGTGGCATCGCAGCTACAATCAAACTGGTAGATACACATAGAGGAGGCGAAATTAGGTAGTTTATCCTTATTTCTCGAACGTAGAATAGGGGTGATAATGAGGAGACAACGTACCTCTGCTGCATAATAAGCTCCTTTAATTACAGTCTTCAGGCTCTCAGTTATTATTTCGCTGATGTTGTAGCCGAGGAAATGCAGTTTAATCAACTATCGTTGTTTTCGGAACTGTTACCATACTGAATGTCTTGCTGAATTCATATTTTTCCCAATGCACTTATCATGATAGCTATTTTTACAAAGTAATAATCTAATAAACTTAAGCTCCTCATTGAGGGAGTCGTTTGAAAAGATTATCCTGGCTCTGTTAACTAAACAATTTACCAGGTTACGTTTATATTTCTAGCGTGCAGAGCTCAAAAAGTGAGTGTGCAGACCTGTTGTTGTAAGTTTCCTATACACACTCCTTCTTCTTCAAATGACGCCGACTAGACGGTATAGGATCGCCTTTTAGTCTGGAGATTCATTGCATCTTTTCTAAGCCACACCGATCGCTGCATCATTATATTATTGCTATAATTACGTACTAGTCGACATACTTGTGGAAGCATAATCGTTTGCTCATTGTGTGTTCTGTGTCGATCATGGATCACCTTGATCCCACAAGTCATGTGATTTGTTTTAAAGCAAATAATTTCGCCAAAATATAGAATTTGCGATGGCTCTGTTAGATTTACCGAAGCTCGACAGATTGCTTGAACAACATATGTAAATTGACGTGGCGCTTATGCACTCGAAAATTTTGTAGTATCAACTTATCTCTGAATATTTCGACTGTAATAGTCCTTTGAGTAGATGGAATTCAGATTGGCATGACTGAATTTCATTATGATTCTGACGCAAATTTTACATTCGACACTTTGTTTAAGCAGTGTGAAGAAACATTCAAGGTAGGTTTAACCAGCCAAAGTGATTCCTGTAAAGTACGTCTCCCACTTCTAAAAGTGGGTACATCTGAATTCGACGAGTATTCCAATATTAATCTACATCAAAAGCCATGCCATCCCACATTTGACACCACATTTCAGACATTGGGACAAACAGCATGGTGATCATTCACCCTTTTTCGAAGCCTGATATCAATATCTTAGTTAATTCATGAATGAAAATGATGATTTTTCCGCCTACATTGATATCGTCAGCCACGAATATGGACGAATTGATTGGAAATATTCGATGGACAATGAATTATAAATTATCAATACTCATATTCAGCCAACAATCACCTCAGTTTTCTGATATCACATTGAGGTTTCTCAACCGCTTGATAGAGGGAACAACAACAACACCACATGACACCAATCACTGCTGAGTATCAACGACTGATAACTCTTCAGTGTGATACGAGTACAGTCGAATCCATATGCGAGGGTGGAAATGAAGTATGTGTGATTCGCCAGAAAACATTTCACTTCATATTACATCCTCGCCAAACCTCCCATTGTCCTAATTCAACTACCTAAGAAAACAGAAGCAGCTGTTCAAACAAATGTTTATTTATGACAAATTACAAAATCATTCAAAGTTATTTATTTATTTTGTTGTTTCGCCGTCTCAATATGTACATATGTATATATATGCATATGTTCATTGTATGGTATATTATGTATTGTGGTTTTTCGGCGACTATCAAATATATGATGCAATTAAGGCATTACTCCTCAAGCAAACAACATTCTTCCTCCACTGTTTGTTGCTAAATAAAATTTTCACTCAGTTTCTTATTTTATAAATTAGGAGAAAGTGAATAATGTGGGTGGGGGAAGGGGTTCGGTTGGTGGATGGGTGGATGTATATTAACAGTAGTAATTCAACTGTCCAGATTGTTGTGACTAAATCACATTTGCTATTTCAGTCGTCAGTTTTTTGTGATTTCGTTCCACAGATATATTTGGCCATATAAAAATGGAGAGACGTTACTGAAGGCCCAACATTAGGATATCACATAATCATAAAAAGAGTATCTCAACGATCTGAACAGAAGTAACATTTGTGTGACTACTTATTGGAACTGTTTTCTAATTTTTTTTTGAAAATAAAGACGATCCATTGAAGACAAATGGTTGGAAATTTCTGATCTTTTAATAATGAAACGTTGTTTCGTCGACATTATCATATGCAAGGGATGGCCTGAAAATTAAAGAATTGAATTCAGCTATTCTTGAGCTCGTGTCAGAAACAACAATGCAAGAGGAATTATTTTCCTGTCCATCCCAAGCAAAATACTAAGCCGCATCATCCTGGAGAGAATCAAACACGCCAACCTGAATGAAAAACTTCGACCGGAACAGGCTGGATTCACGAGAAACAATTCATGTATTGATCAAATCGCCACAATACGGATCATCACTGAACAGATCTTGGAATGGCAGTCAGTCACCTCTCTATCTCAACTTCATCGACTTTGAAAAGGCCTTCGACAGACTGCATCGATCGAGAGGTGATTTGGCAACTACTTCGCTACTACTGGGTGCCACCGACAATTATACATCTCATCCAACAGTTGTACGACAATGCTGTATGCCAAGTAATCCACAACGGGAAACTTACGGAATCCTTCGAATTGAAGACAAGAGTAAGGCAAGGCTGTCTACTATCGCCTATGATTTTCCTGATTGCAGTAGATTGGATAATGCGACAGACAACAGGAAACGAGGAAACAGGCATAAAATGGACACACACACAAAGAAAACTTGGAGGATATGGATTTCACCGATAATGATTTATGTCAAATTTCCCACAAACTAGAAGATATGCAAGTGAAAAGAAAAAAGTTGGCAGAAGAAGCAGTAAAGATAGCAAAGACTTCAGGTGAACATAGAGAAAACAGAGGTGAAGAAGATACCTGGCCAACAGCAACGGCAAAAACGACAGACAACAATGAGCCAGCATAAATGGGAGGAATTTGAAAGAAGCAACCTCCTTCACCTACCGACTTACATCAGAAGCATCTTCTGAACTAAAGGCGAACGGAACTGTTGAGTATGTCAAGGCAAGGATAGGGAAATCAAGACAACCATTCATTTCTCTCAAGTCTGTGTGGAGATCAACAGCACTCAGCATGGAAAATGACATGCGGATTTTCAACTCTAATATGAAGTCAGTGCTACTTTCTATACGGATCAGAGACTTAGCGTGTCACAAAAGACACTCCAAACAAACTCTAGACCTTCATTAACAGCTGTTTTCGTTCGAAACTACTCAAGATCAGATGGCCGGCCAGAAAAGATCAGCAACAGGGATCTCTGGCAATAAGCGAACCAACCAGGAACCGATTGTGAAACAAATAGGCAGGAAGATGTATTGGTCATACTCTGAGGAAACCAGCAGGTGACATCACTAGACAAACCCTCGAATGGGACCCGAATGGGAAGCGGCGAATTGGTCGTCCAAGGATGACTTGGAGTAGGTCATGTGAGGAGGAGATGAAAGCATGTGGGCAGACTTGGAGCCAGGTGGAAACTGTAGGAGAGAACGGAACGTAATGGAGATGTGCTTCTGAAGCCTTATGTTCCTCTAAGAATTAAAGGAAATAATAATAATTTTTGAGCGTGCCCCATTCAATGGATTTTATCAACTATAATCCAAGCAAAATGGCTCGATGAATAACACTTTGCACGAAT